CAGTTCGTGGTAGAGGTGGATGCCTCTAACCTCGGTGTGGGGGCAGTTCTCTCTCAGCGGGCTGCAAAGGATAATAAGCTCCATCCCTGCGCTTATCTCTCCCGTAAGTTGTCCCCAGCGGAAAGGAACTACGACGTGGGCAATCGTGAACTACTGGCAGTAAAAGAAGCCTGGGAGGAGTGGAGACATTGGCTAGAGGGGGCCGCTCAGCCGTTCCTGGTATGGACAGACCATAAGAAGCAGGTTAGATGGACACTTTTTTTCAGTCGTTTTGATTTTACCTTGTCATTTAGACCTGGCTCCCAGAACACCAAGCCAGATGCCTTGTCCCGTCTGTTTGACCCTGAGCCTGCTGCCAAGGAACCAGAACCCATCCTACCACTGAACCGTGTGGTAGGAGCGGTAACTTGGCAGATAGAAAAAGAGGTGCAGCAAGCAAATGTTGAGAGCCCAGCACCTAGTGAGTGTCCGCCTAATAGGCTGTTTGTTACAGTGCCCTTACGCTCCAAGATCATTCACTGGGTTCACACGTCCTTGCTCACTTGTCATCCTGGGGTTAGAGGAACCATGTTCGCACTTAAGCAGCGTTTCTGGTGGCCGTCCATGGCTAAAGATGTTGGTGAATATGTGAATGCCTGTCCTGTTTGTGCTCGCAGCAAAACTTCTTCCAGGTCTCGGGCTGGGTTGCTGCAGCCGTTGCCCATTCCTCAACGGCCCTGGTCTGACATATCCATGGAATTTGTTACTGGACTCCCGGTGTCTCAAGGTAATACCACTGTGCTAACAGTGGTAGATCGTTTTTCTAAAATGACTCATTTTATTCCATTGACCAAGCTACCCTCGGCCAAGGAAACGGCAGAAATTATGATGGTCAATGTGTTCCGGATACATGGATTTCCCAGGGATATTGTGTCAGACCAGGGCCCACAGTTTGTTTCCAAGTTCTGGAAAGAGTTCTGCAGTCTCATTGGAGCCACCGCTAGCCTCTCCTCTGGGTATCACCCCCAGTCCAACGGACAAACGGAGAGATTAAATCAAGTGTTGGAGACATGTCTGAGGTGCTTGGTGGCTCAGAATCCCTCATTGTGGAGCAAGCATCTAACCTGGGTGGAATACGCCCACAATTCTCTTCCCACCTCTGCCACAGGTCTGACTCTCTTCCAGTACGTCTTTGGCTACCAACCACCCTTGTTTGCTGAGACTGAAAAGGAGGTCTTAGTCCCTTCTGCACATGCCCTGGTCAGACGTTGCCACCGCATCTGGGCGGCTGCCCATCGAACCCTTCTAAGGAGTTCTTCTTCTATGAAAAGGGGGGCTGACCGACACCGCCGGCCAGCTCCAGTGTACCAGCCTGGGCAGAAGGTTTGGTTGTCCACGAAAGATCGACCCCTACATGTCGCTTCAAGAAAATTAGCCCCCAGGTTTGTTGGTCCCTTTCCAATAACGAAGATTGTGAACCCTGTGTCTGTGCGCATGCGACTCCCCAGGTCCCTGCGGGTCCACCCTACATTCCACGTTGGGAAGATCAAGCCTGTCAAGGAAAGCAGTTTGGTGCCCGCAACTAAACCTCCGCCACCCCCCAGAATTGTTGATGGTGGCCTTGTTTATACGGTCAAGAAACTGCTGGCAGTCCGGAGAAGGGGACGTGGCAGGCAGTTCCTCATTGACTGGAAAGGCTATGGAGCAGAGGATAGAATGTGGATCCATTCTCGCTACGTTGTGGATCAGGAGTTGATCACGGATTTCTACAGGCAACATCCTAATCTGCCTGGGCCGTCAGGAGACGTCCCTAGAGGGGGGGGTAATGTTGTGACTCGACAGATATGTTAGGTTTAGTTATGTTTTACTCTAGTTTTTTGTTTTGATCTTGTCACTTCCTGTTTTTATTTTGAAAGTAATCTTTCCTCTTATTCCAGATCCCACATTTCCTGCCTTTGTGTGTTTCCCGCCCGTGAGATTGCTTGGCCCCTGCCCTGATTGTTTTCACCTGTGCCCATCCCCCTCACCTATATATAGGTGTTTCTTTGTTCCTTTGTCAGTTCGTTATGTTTCATGTCGTGAGCACCTAGGCCTTTTGACTCCTGATACCTACCTTGAGATTTAGACCTTTTGCCAAGTGAGTTTTTGTGTTGCTGTACAACTTAGTTTTGGCTGTTTAGCTACTTTCTATTTTTTGAAAGTACGATTTAGTTTTTGTTATTAAAGAACATTCTATTTTTGGACAACTGTCTCCGAGTCCTGCTTTTGGGTCCTACGTCCTGTGTCTCGGTTCATAACACAGGCTTGTTGCAATGTACATTAGGGAGGAAATGTTGACCGTTTCCAATATGGAATCACCATCTTTCTTAAAACATATTGAGCAAGACACAGGTAACGGGCTGGCAAATGCCATCAGACAGGAAAACCTTTGCAAGCTACCTGGACCAGTGTTATGATGGAGACTGAGCTAATGAAAACATGGCTGATGTTCAAATAAAGAGCAGAAACAGAGGTCTGTGTACAGTGATGTCCTTAATAGATTAAGGAGTTGAGCTGATCTGGCATACATGAGGTTAAACTATATATTGTTATTTGTCATTTGATTTATGGTGCATCTCAGGTGATGTTACAGAGTAATCCAAAAGTAATGTAACTAATTACTTTCAGTAGTGAGTAACTAAGTAAAGTAAGGCATTACTTTTTTTAAAGTAACTAGTAATCTGTAATGCATTACTTTCTTTGAGTAACTACCCAAACACTGACAACAACAACTTGTAATTTGAGCTGTTTGTATTTCTGTTTTGGGTCGATCATGAAGGAAGCGTCAGGTAGCTCCAGTCCCAAAGCCTGTGTAACCACCGATACTTTTTAAAACAAAACTAAAAAGTATCAGCCCATTCTTCCTATGGGTTGGGTGTGATGGATAAAGATGGGCAGACGATGGGGAAAGGTAGGCAGTCACATGAAAAGTGCAGCAAGCGTAGCATTCAATTATCCGTAAATGACAAGCAATCAGTGATGGATCTTCTTTCATTCACATTTAAACTGTGGAGGACATTTTATGAATAATACTGCTTAACGGTTCTGACAGGCATGCAGCACACTTCAACCAAGTAAAGTGTTGAAAGAGACGGGAGACAGGCGCATGAAGGGAAGAATAGGATGAAAAAACTACTCGGAGAATAAAAGGAGAAATACAGAAGAGATAGTTTGCCTTCAGGAGAGAGACCTGCCCACACCTCCTGCTGTCACAGCTCACTGGGGAGATGGAGCAGCTGTCGGAAAATCAATGGAAGCCATTCAGCTCCACTTTAGATCCACACATCAATCACTGCAGCGAAGAGTACCTGAGCCAACAAGTGCTGTTATCAAAGCTAACCGGGCTCATGTCTAACGATATACACACACACAAAAAAACACTGCACACCCACCAGTCCGTACACATGTTGTATTAATCAGATGCTTTGGTCCCCTGCTCTGTCGTTTTTTTATTCGTTTTACTTGTCTATTTGTGTCTCTGTACTTGTCTCAGTTGTTCAGTGATCACTTTATGAGACAATAAAAACGAATTAAAATAAAGGTGTAATAAGAATCTATTAACTAATAGACTAGACCAGTGGTTCCCAACCTGGGGGGCGCGCCCCCCCTTGGGGGGGCGCCAAAGATTGCAGGGGGGCGCCAGGCCTCAGATGATTTGAGGCAAAATATCATATTTAGACTTTTTTTTACATATAATTGTAACGCAATACATGATTGTCACTAAAAGCCTCGTCTCTACAGTACATTACAATAAAAATAAATAAATAATTGATTAATTAGTTTTAATAAAAATTCAAGTTAGTAGCTATTAAAGGCATAAAAAGACAGAAATGTATAATTCTTTCTTTAATAGAAATGTTTCTTCTGCCCGTAAAGTGTTCAAACCAGGCTTGTCTGGATAAGCGCATTTTTAAAACATAGTCATTGTCCATGCCGGTTTCAGTTGGATTATTTGTCACAGTTTCTCTGATCAGATCAGTCTCCTCCATTTTGTAGATTATTTATGACTTTTGAATCCACATAAGCACATCGGCAAAATCCGGCTTACTTTGAGCATGTGTTTTAAACAGTCTAATCCCTTGTGAATTGTTTCCACTTGCGCCGTCCTTTAATTTCTTCATACAGCGGGAATCCAAATGAATTAATCCTGAGTCCAATAACCATCAAAGTCACTCCAATAGTGCTCCTTAATTACGCTTTCCTCCTCCTTTAACAACATACTTCACATTCATTCAGTTTGTGACAGTAGTTGTAGCATTTTGAGACTATTAAACTTTAATTACCGCTGTTGCGCCCTCCCCCCCCACCCCTTGTGTGTGTGTGGGGGTGGGGGGTGGGGGGGGCGCAACTTCCAACAGGAGTCATTTGGGGGGGCTCTTGGGAAAAAAGGTTGGGAACCTCCAAAATCGCTGTTTTTTTTAATTATATCTCCCGAGTATGGCACCAAGCGTCAAAACATTTTTCATTTACATGGGTTAGAAATAGGGTTGGGGTTAAGTGTGTCAAGAAAAAATGAAAGAAGTCCAAATAATGATAATCACAGAAGGTTGTAAGTAGGGCTTGGGTTATTTTGTGTTTTATACTGGTGTTGAGCAGTCCTAAGGCTGCCAGTGAGGGTGACCCTTTGGTAGGCATAAGGCTGACAATGACGCCCAAAAAACTAAAACGAACAAGGTTGAGCTCCCTCTGCTCCAACAATCGCACCGTGACTAGAAACAAAAACAAGGACCTCTCACCAGGAGTTAAATTCTATAGCTTTATCTATAAACGTTTTATACCATTTGAAATTCAAACTGGCTAAACTTTTGATAGCATTGTCAGTATCATGTGAGCCATACTCAACGTGTTCATCTCATCTAACCCTAACCTGCAACTTAAGGTTTAACTAGCAGGAGATTGTCCACACTTTGGAGAATTGTTCTTCTTGTTCATTTCCTGAGAAACCATTTTAACAAACGATAGAGTCACAGGATGTGTCTTACTTGTGAGACTTGTGGTCCAGGTCAATGTGGTTGATGGTTCTGGTGCTGTAAAGAGCCTTCATGTCTTTAGTTAAGGACAGCAGACTGTGGCAGAACTTCAGGCCCATCTCCTGCAGCTCCCTGGTTCCTGTCTGGAGGCCCTGCACAAAAACCCATATATGTTCACAGCTGGCACACACTGTGTTTTTTCGGACTACTTTTTTATCCTTTTTGTTTCTTTTAAGTTCTGGTGGAGGTTGAAAACGTTGGGCTTCACACGAACCACTCGCATGAAGAGTACAGTACCATTCATTTTTAATTGGCATGCTAAGTGATTTAAGATGAGTTTGTTGCATTCACCAATTTACCGTTTGTATTCTAAGTACTATTGGCCTTGAGCGACCTTTGGTTTTACTCATCTAAATAGTTAAAGAGTACCGAACTTCATACTTTGTCGCTCAATACAATGACCAGCACATGGAAAAGTAATACTTAGGCTGATATTAATAGTGTGTGTGAGTGTTTTCAATATTACTTTTGATTAAGGGTTGTTAATCGGGAAAGGAGGACCTACTTCAAAGATACATTGTTCACAATTCCAAACTTTATTTAACGACGTTTTTCAAGTTTTAAAGTGCGATCATCAAAGGGTCTGGCTGCCATTGTTAGTATGTAAATATGAATATCATCTCTTAATGTTAAGTGCTGTGTTGTTTGTGTCTGACTGCATAAAGGCTGAGGAAGGCTGCATCTCTGACTTTCCAAACTCTGCTGCAGAAACTCTCCTCTCTACTCTCTCTGTCCTCTCACATCTCGGCAGGCTCGTCAGTCCCCTCCTGCTCCCTGGCTAAATGACGCTTACCCCCATTACCTCTGCCCGCCCTACCACCTGTCCTCTGGACCCTATCCCCTCAAACCTCATTCAGACTATCACTCCTGATATTATACCGTTTCTCACCCATTTCATCAACACTTCTCTAACTTCTGGTCACTTTCCAAATAGTCTTAAGGAGGCAAGAGTAAACCCTCTTCTAAAGAAACCCACTCTCAACCCGTCTGATGTTATAAACTACAGGCCTGTCTCTCTCCTCCCGTTCCTGTCTAAAACACTTGAACGTGCCGTCTTTAAACAACTCTCCTGTTATCTCCATCAGAACAACCTTCTGGATCCGCACCAGTCTGGTTTCAAGGCAGGTCACTCCACAGAAACTGCTCTCATTGCTGTCACTGAGGAACTGCACACTGCCAAAGCAGCATCCCTCTCCTCTGTCATCATCCTGTTGGACCTGTCTGCTGCATTCGACACGGTGAACCATCAGATCCTCCTTCACTCTCTTTAAAAACTTGGAGTTTCAGGCTCTGCACTTTCCCTCCTCACCTCATACCTCAAAGACCGTACCTACAGGGTAACTTGGAGAGGGTCCGAGTCCGACCCTTGTTAATTAACTACAGGGGTCCCTCAGGGCTCTGTTCTTGGTCCCCTCCTCTTCTCCCTGTACACAAACTAGCTTGGATCAGTTATTAGCCCGCATGGTTTTTCATACCACTGCTACGCTGACAACACCCAATTAATTATGTCCTTTCCCCGCTCAGAGACCCAGGTCGTCGCACGCATCTCTGCTTGTCTAGCTGACATCTCTCAGTGGATGTCTGCTCATCACCTCAAGCTCAACCTTGACAAGACTGAACTGCTTTTCCTTCCGGGAAAAGATTGTCCCACTCTTGACCTGACAATCAACATTGGCACCTCTGTTGTTTCCCCGACTCAGACTGCAAGGAATCTGGGTGTGACCCTAGATAACAACCTGTCCTTCGCTGCTACAACCCGCTGCTGCAGATACACGCTTTACAACATCAGGAGGATACGTCCCCAGCTGACACAGAAAACAACGCAGGTTCTGGTCCAGGCTCTCGTCATCTCACGTCTAGACTACTGCAACTCCCTCCTGGCTGGTCTACCTGCATGTGCCATCCGACCTCTGCAGCTCATCCAGAATGCAGCGGCTCGTCTGGTCTTCAACCTTCCAACATTTTCCCACACCACTCCGCTCCTCCGCTCACTTTACTGGCTTCCGGTAACTGCTAGAATCCACTTCAAGACACTGGTACTTGCGTACCATGCTGCGAATGGAGCTGGCCCTTCCTACATCCAGGACATGGTTAAACTGTACACCCCAGCACGTGCACTACGCTCTGCATCAGCCAAACGACTCGCTGCACCCTCGCTGCGAGGGGGACCCAAGTTCCCATCAGCAAAAACACGTGGGTTTGCTATCCTGGCTCCAAAATGGTGGAATGAGCTCCCCATTGACATCAGGACAGCAGAAAGCCTGCACATCTTCCGGCGCAGACTGAAAACTCATCTCTTTCGACTCCACCTCGAGCGATAGAATTACTAACAAAGAACTGCTAACAGAACACTTATATACTAATAAAGGACTGGCTTATCAGTTGAGTAGCACTTGAAATGTTGATGTACTTATATGATTCTGTTTTCTTCAAGGTTGTGTCTTCCTGGTCGAATGTACTTATTGTAAGTCGCTTTGGATAAAAGCGTCAGCTAAATGCAATGTAATGTAATAATGTAATAATGTAATGTAATGCTAGACGTTGGTGTGTGTGCAGTGTGTTGAAGTGGCTCTGTTGTTTTGAACAGTTTTGTAGTGTAAGGGATGTGCCCCATTAAGCTGTGGAATTGTTGTGTGTTGTTGTTATACCTGGTTGTACTATTGCCGCTTTCTTTTTTCAGAAAGTTGTCCTTTGCCTTCATTTAATTGCCTGGAAAACCTTTTTGTTTTCAATGTATTAATTGGTTTTATAATTCACTTATCTTAATGTCTTTGTCCCCTGTTTATTTAACCTTCGTGTTACTTACAACAGCACATTTACCTCAACTGACCTTAATAAACAAGTTGTAACATTTTATTTAATAGGCCGCTGTGCCAGCTAACAATATAGTTTGTGGTGGAAAAAGAGGAAAAGAGAGGATTTTAACAAAATATTGCACACCCTCTCATTTGATTATTGCCAAGAAAAAATGTAATATCTGCTTATTTAGAATCAGCCTCAACCATATAAATATCCCCCATTTGTATTTGCTAAATATATTCTATTTGGATTCCTGTGAACATAGGAGAGCCCTCTGATCACCATCTCTTCTTTACCTCCACCAAAAATATAATAAGTTACATACTTTATATTCTAAATGCTTATCTCCAGACTTTTCTGTATATTCATGTTGAAATTATGTATAGACACATGTATTGGCACACCTTGTATATTCCCTGGTCGCAGCCATTGTGAGTGCTCTCCATGGTATAACTTCTCAGCACGCCCATCTCCCTCCACACCACCACCCTGGCTGTGGAAGAGCGGGACTTCTCCACCTGTGCAAATCACAATATAGCTCAAATATGATTTGGTTGAATTAAATATATTTACATTCTGTATATAGATGTGGTTTTTCTTACCAAATAGTTGCAGCTGTTGAAAGAGAAGGCTGGTGCGATGCTATCCAAGGTCTTTGGAAGGGTCTAGAAAGAGAGAGAAGGTGGTGGTTGAATGGTAAACAGAGCTGAATTCTTTGTCCTTTTCGTTTACACTAGGTTTGTTGTTAATTAAAATGGCAACTTCACAAATGTATACGAATCAAACTGAATTATTACAGAAAGAAAACTGAACGTATGTGTCATTTCTGATCAGTCATTGATTACATTTATGTTGTTTTCAAATAATGATTCACATTAGGCGCATTCACACTGCGGTACTTTTCCCACAAAGGTTCATGTGAACTTAGTTCATTGGCGCTTTCACACTGCGGTACTTTTCCCACAAAGGTTCATGTGAACTTAGTTCATGTGAACTCTTTAGTTCGCATGAACTAAGTACAGATCGCGTTCACACTGGAAAAAGTCCCTGGGGGTGGATTAGGCAAATGAAGCCGCTGACGTCACTTGTTCTTCTTCTGCTTTGGGCCTACTGGCAGGCCGCAAACCACTTCACGGCGTATACTGCCGCCCAAAGTCCCCTTCAGTAGAAGCTGCTGGGACTCCCAGCAGCTTCTACTGAAGCCTTCCGAGTAAATCGCCAGAACGCCGACACCTCCTCATCTCCACCGCTCCCATGTTTTATTTTGTGTTGCCATAAGTTAGTCTCTCTGCGTTTCTGCGCTGGGCTAATGCTAATGCTAATAATGCTAATGCGAGGATAATAAAATGGCGGCTTCACAAAACTTTTTGGGAGTTTTACGGGGCGTGGTTTGTAATCCGCCCAGCCAATCAGAAATATAGCTCTTTTCTCACAAAAGAGCCGCTCGAAAGTCCCTGCTCTCTAGCAGGGACTTTCGAGGGGGTAAAAAGGTTCACATTAACTAATTTTAGTACCGGCTCTTTTTGGTGTGAACGCGATAAAAGAGTTCACATGAACTAAGTTCACATGAACCTTTGTGGGAAAAGTACCCCAGTGTGAATGCGCCTATTGTGGTCCATAGACATGTTCTCCACTGACTGTGCAGAGTTTAAGCATGTGATTTCAGTTTTGACCAATGCAAATAAAAAAGAACAAAGAAGTTTTATAAATGATATATATCCAGTAGAGCTATTGTATGCATGCACACAGAAGCTCACGCACACTAACACACACTGAATAGATTTTCTTTAGTCATAACACAGTTGCTAAAAATAAACCAACTAAAACACAAGTAAAAACTAATTGTTTTCTGCTTATCTTATTTTTTAACTGTATTATAACTGATGTTTTGTTAATATTGCTTATCTGAAATGCATGTCAATAAAGTTACTCATAAATGGATGGAGTAGGGGAAACATCAACCACTTGTGTGTGTGAGTGTATGTGTGAGTGTATGTGTGAGTGTATGTGTGAGTGTATGTGTGAGTGTATGTGTGAGCAGTGGCGAGCCGTCAGGGCCCTCTAGGCCCTCTGTGAGGGCCTAAGATATTCTAAAAAATAATATTTGAAAACATAAAAAAAAAAATTAGTTTTACCAAAATAACTTGATTTAATTGTATTTAAAATAATATTTCCAAATAAATAAATCCTTCGAATCTGCCTGTTCAGTTTCTGTTAGAATGTGAAGGGTTAAATACCGTCTCTGCGAGTTATGTGAAGACCGGAGAGCTTGTTGGTCCCTCTGTACATTCACAGAGGGCCCGCTATAGTAACTCAACGAGAGAGTAATGTCAAATGACAGTACAATTGACCAATCACATCTTCCCTCTAAATGGGCGGGCATTATTTTCGCGGACTTTATGACAAGTTCCGCCCGCTGTGAGGTCTATGCAAGTGGTGCAGTGACGCATCCTAAAACCCGGAAGTAAGCTTCGCTCGGATTCCCTCGACAGAAAGCAGTGGGATTTCTCCATAGGATTTTGGAAAATAGCTCGAAATAAGGTCTGTGGAAAACGAACCTGTTAGATAAATGCATGTTTTGTTCAGCCGGATAATATCCACATGTCTACCCTACTTTTATTATTTTCGAATCATAAATCTAATCGATAGATTTATGATGGATAGATTTATGATCGATAGATTTATAATTAGCATAAGTTCGTTCATGATGGCTCACTTCAGTGATAGTGATGACATCGTTGCGAAATTATTAACCGAGTCATTTTCAAGATTGAGTTACAATGATAAACTGGAGTGGCAAAGGATCAGCTGAATGACCCCGCCATGAAGTGCTTCATCCAAAAGGACAGGAGGATGGACTTTGTGTTTAAGTGATTTGATCATCAAAGGTAGGCCTAAGTCATTTTCAATGTGGGCCGCCGTGCCGACTTAATTCATTTGTAATTGTTACTTGGCTGTGGGTGCCCTGTCATGAGAGGTGTTTATATAAATGGTGTTGTTTTGTGTGGTAGAGGGTCGCTGTCATTGATGTGTTTTGCACCTCGGGCCGCTGTTTTGATATTCCGCAGAAGTATACACTGTGACGTAATATATCTTCTTTTTTTTCTCGAGGGAAGGGGGGTCAGAGGGCCTAGGTATAAAAGTCACGGCTCGCCACTGTGTGTGAGTGTATAGTGAGTGTAGTGTGAGTGTAGTGTGAGTGTAGTGTGAGTGTAGTGTGAGTGTAGTGTGAGTGTAGTGTGAGTGTAGTGTGAGTGTAGTGTGAGTGTAGTGTGAGTGTAGTGTGAGTGTATGTGTGAGTGTAGTGTGAGTGTATGTGTGAGTGTATGTGTGAGTGTATGTGTGAGTGTATGTGTGAGTGTATGTGTGAGTGTATGTGTGAGTGTATGTGTGAGTGTATGTGTGAGTGTATGTGTGAGTGTATGTGTGAGTGTATGTGTTACCCTATATCCAGGGTCCTCTTTTAATCCCATAGTGTTAACAGAAGAGCCAGACTGCCAGAGGGTCTCCTTCAGACTGCAGCCGTACAGGAAGACGTTCTTCTTTCTGGAGTGGCCGTGGTAGTCACAGAAAACCTGGAAGACACACAGGAAGTGAGACAGATTTATATTGTGCAATTTTCCAAACTCACATTGGTTTCTCATACAGCATCTCTGTATAGTATGTGTATTCACTCTCTGTCCTAAACGGCTTGTTGGAGCTCCTGCCCCCCCCCCCTCCCTGTGAGCCCAGTGTCTTGCCGACCCCACACCAGTGAGCCAGCTCACACTGTCCTGCTCTTCGCAGCAGCGAGCCTCGCAACGTCCCACTGAGTGTGTGTGTGTGTGTGAGGAAGTCCGCGGATTGGTCCAAACGTAACGGCTCCGCGGACGTAACATAACGGCACCGCGGACGTAACGTAACGGCACTATACCCAAATACGTCACTGTACCCAAGAAGTAAACAATGGAAAAAGACAAATCTCCAACGAGGCGTTTTGGGGCAGCATAGACAGGTATTTTCTGTGTTAGAGTTTTACTCGCTACAGGGTGTACTTTGAGGGTTTGTGACTCTGCAGACCGTTTACATGCATTACAAGCTACATAACACACAAGGGGACGGGTAATAACCGGAAAAGCATGCGATGGGACCTTTAAAAACATTTTATTTTATCATTTTAACTTAATTCTAGTATCTATCAACTAAGTTAAAATGATGATTGGGTTCACTTTAGTTGGAGTTACTCAATTCAATATTCAGAGCATTAGTTCAAGGTTCAAGGTTTTTATTTTGTCATACGAACATAGCTACAGTGCAGTTATGACGATGAAAATCTTAGGTCACAGGCTTCTCCAACAGTGCAACACAAAACACAGATACATAGAAAATATAGTGCAAGTAAATAGTAAATACAGAAAGAAAAATTGTTTGAAATAGTGCAATAAGAGTCTATATGCAAGTTATTCGAATATGATATTTTAGGTTATATATTATACATTAATATAGCAGAAAACTATTAGCTATGTAAAGATATATTGTAGTAATGTCTGCCAGAGCAGGGAATGAAGTCTTTGTTCCTAGTATCCTAGTTTCTCTGTGATTTTTTTAGTTTTTGTTGTCAAGCCCGCTGCATGTGAATGCTTGAGCATGTCAGTCTTGTGTGTGGCTAGCTAGTGGCCGCCACTTTTCCCTATGCTCATACCGCTGATAACTCCATCCCATGACTTTAGGGTGTAACTATGACATCCTGCGTCCTTGTCCTTGACACTTTCCTTGTGTTTAACACTGTGCACAGAGTGGTTTCAACTGTTTTGCTGCTAGCAGTGTTAGCTGTTAGCACCATTCGCTGCTAGCCCCTGGCTAAGCCATGTTCACCGTGTGGAGACACTACTGTACCTCTGCTCTGAATTTGGAATATAAAAGTTTTAAATTAGTGTGTAAGCCATTATCCTTCGCCCCCAAGAATTGGACAGGTAACAAAGGGAAAATTGTCTGAAATACACAAATTATACAAATGACCTATTTTCGGTTAGAACAAGTATATACTCCTGCTGAAAAGATATGTGATTATATTCTCAATTTCACTATTCCTGAGAAAAGCAAACAACCCCCCTCTCACATGTGCATGATTCACAAGACACTGTTGGAACAGCACTGCAGTTGTTTTTCTGGTTAGAACAGTCTCCAAGAGCCTCATGTTTTTCATGTGTGGATCACCTGCTGGAAAGAGGTTGCTAAATATTTTTGAAAGAGCACAAGCTTTTCGCTGTTTGTCAGTGTACAGCAACGGTTGGCAGTTAATTACTTGAATAAGCCTCATCCCATTATATTTCAGTATTGGGAAGACATACAAAAACATCTTCTTTCAGCTCTGTTTTGCTGAATAATTGGTATTGTGAGGGAAACTTATAAAAATCAGTAATTCATTTAGTTGTTCATTAGTTTCCCATTGTTTTGAACACTTTTTTTTTAAATTGTCAATGTTAGTGGAATCTGATTTATTTACTGATATTTCAAAAAGTTAAGGAAACAGTATTAGAGCGTTTTCTGGCATAGACTCCATTTACAATTAGATAGAAATTAAGAAAATGGCGGAGACTGACTCACTTGTTTTAGTTAACTTATTCTGTTCCAAAAAACTTTTCTTGTTACTTTCTTTTTTTATGTTAGGGGTAGGTTTGAGTTACAAGCAATTAAAACTGCTTCAGATGTGTAAGGAAATATTGGATTGAAGGTTAAGGACATTTCAAAGAGTTAGATGTTCGGATTGATATCACTCTTGAATAAAGTCTTTGTGTTGTGCTTAGCCTCAAGACTGGAAACAGGGAGAAACAGCTGCCCTTTCTGTGTCCAAAGTTGAGAGATACATAGGCCAGCCCCTCATCCACATCTACTGATATTCTGTACAAACTGTGAAGTCCACTGAGACAAATGTAACATTTGTGATATTGGGCTATATAAATAAACATTAATTGATTGATTGATCCACTCATTAATATCATCTATTGTGCTGAAGATTTAATGCATTTATAAACCGAAACACTATAACCATTCAATCTGATTTCAGGGGAAAGCTGGAGAGATTTTAGAACTGATGTGACCACAATATCTTCGGATAAATGACATGTAAGTTTAAAGGTTCACATGTTCACCAGTGGAGTCCGTCCTATACTGTTGAGGTAGTAGAGGAAGCCCTTGGTGTGATAGATGGTTGGACTGAGGACGGGGTCTGGTTTACTCCACTGACGATTCAGATCCTCACCGTTCAGATCACAGCGATTCCTGCAGGGACACACCACAGAAGAGAGAGGGCATGTATTATGAGGTTTTTTAATGAAGTTCTTGGAGCAATGAACTGAAAAAACCAAGAGGATGCTGAAGGCTAATCTGTACAATACTAAAGGTTTAATTAAAGGAGGTACTCGATTATTATTCTATTCCATACACTGCTTGTCAGTGGGTCCCTCGGCCTCCCCACACTCACGTGCCGTTGATGACTCCGTCGGGGTTGAGCATGGGAATAATCTTGAAGATGAAGGCCTCCCTCAGACTCTGGGCCACCGGTTCACTGCTGCACAGAAACTCCAGGGTGCCTTTCATCACCCAGCTGGCATTGGACTCTCCTGGGTGGACACGGCATGTTAGCACGATGTAGGGGCGATTACCTGGACAGGGACAGAAACACACCATTAAGTAAAAAATAATTTCAGAGTGGAAATGATGGGCTGTGTATGTATAATGAAAACATGTTTTCAACAACACTTGTCACTATTTTCCAAAGCTGATTATTAATCTGTACTTTTACAGTTTTTAACGCAGCTTAACTTTAGTTCTGTAGGTACGTTTTTTTAGATCTTATTGTTGTTAGACTGTAACGTCCAATTAATGTTTCCTGTCACAGATAATGGCACACCCTTCTTTACACTTGTATTGGTTTGTTTCTACAAAAATACCTTTGGAAGGTATGTTTATTAGACTCTTACTTCAAGTAAAGCAGGTTGCGATTACAGAAATAGAGAAAAAAGCAAAAGCCTTCTGTCTTTTAGTAATTCAGTTCAGTTGCTGTTATGTTCACTCTAAAACATACTACAAGAAGATGCAGGCTATCATGCTTTCCCTCCAATTAATAATATTATTGTTTGCATTTATATTCAAAGGAATTACTTTAAATAAAGTATTAAAACAATTAGATACTGAGACAGGGAGCTCCACTTGAACAGACTCAGACTTGTTTTTTGTGTTTCCAGTTTTATTTTGAGAAGTTTTCTCTCCTTATGTCTTGCCTGCTTTGACTTCCTGTCTGTGTTTTCCCACCTTTGTGATTATCTACCCCGCCCTGATTCTTCCCACCCATGTGTAATAATAATAATGCATTTTATTTATATAGCACTTTTCACAACTATTACGTTGCCTACTGGGCTAGGGGAACCAAAGGGAAGCAACACAACCAGAATGGGATTGGTATTAATTATAAGTGGTTTTATTATAAATAGCAGCGGTAAACAAAATGGCAGGCATGCAGCCTGGAACAACAACAAAAGGCCAAAAGGGCACAGGTTGACAAATAACTAAAAAAAGGGAGGACTCTAAAAAGGGAGCCTGTTTACATACAAAAGAAATAGATAATAACGGAACTAAATAGAAACTAAAACCCTCACTATAAAAGTGGTACAGAGTGACTAACACAGGGAATATATACAAAACACACAGCTAAACTAAAGGCAACAGTCACAAAACCTAAGCTACTCTAAACACTATGTAAACTACTCTAGGCACTACTAACGCACAATATCACACTACCGGACACAGCCCACACAAATTAAACACAGAACGAAAAGCAAGTAGCGAGAGGCGTCTGTTCACTCAACAGACCCCTCCAGAGTGATGATTGTCCCCAGCTTTGTAGTCGTCTCCAGCAGGTGTGCGCCGACTGTGCGCTGCGATTGGAGAACGTCGGGCCCGACGTACTCCAATCAGTGTCCTCGGAAGTGGATCAGGAGATGACAGCCAATCACGTTGGGGCAACCACACAGCTCATTTACATTATCACACACACAGCTGCAGACAATCCCAGACAGGTTACTGATCAGGCAGAAACAGCAGCCGTAACAACAACTCAAAGACGCTTTACAGCAGTGACGTGCGGTGAGGTTCATGGCTGGTGAGGCACTGACTCTTTCAGAGTCAGATTTACAAATATTATATTTTGACCTTAATCGAAATGTTCGGTTATTTTCAAAAGCTTTTTTAGTCTGATGCTTCGATTCATTTTAAACAGACTGTTCAACAAAAGGAAGGATACCCAAAATCTAAATATTGGATTGTTCTTTCTTAGTAAGATCCCATGTTCATTACAATTGGGGTCTTACCTTGACTTGAAGATGAAGTCCATGCTATCCTTCTGGACAACAATCTCCATTACATTTTTGTAAAAGTCCTCCTTATCTTCCTGTAGTTTCAAAAGTCTAGCTTGTTGTTTGCGTAGAATAACAGTAGCAACAAGAACCTGAGGGCTCACTTGCGCCCCCTTCAGTGCGGCAGAGGTTATGGCTGCCTCTCCTGGTGCTTTTTTCATTGCCGTTGTATGATGAGACCAGCGAGCCTAAATATCATATATACGTGAAATAAGTTATTTAGAGACTATGGATGGCGAGGATAAATGTAATAAAGGGATCTACAAACATTACATTGGTGACATACAGTGAGATGGTGCAGGCATGCGCTTAGGGCCCGCTTTCCAGCCAGTTTCTGTGGGGTGACGCATTCTGAGGTGAGGCAGATCTCAGCTGTGCCTCACCTCACCCCACAGTAACTGGCTTGAGCGCGCTCACAAAATAAGTGCCCGCGCTACATTAGTGCCCGCGCTCCAGCCAGTTACTGTGGGCTTACGTGAGGCAGAGCTCGTCCCTGCCTCACTCCTCATCGCTCCCATGTAGTTGTAGCGGAGCTCGGCCAATTTGCTGATTTTGACTATAAAAAGCGATTGGAATCAAACAGAAATCACATTTACAACACAGATCAGTGGAGACATTTTATTATTATTACTATTTAGTTTTTCTTTAGTTGTTTTTCCGTTACATTGGAGTATGACAGGTGAGGCTCTGCCTCCATAGACAGAGTTGAAAATATGTGTTTTGAGGCGGGACTGAAAGCCTGTGAGGGACTCATAGTCACGGAGATCTTGGGGGAGGGAATTCCAGAGCCTAGGAGCTGCCACTGAGAAGGCTCTGTCCCCAAAGCTGCAGAGTGTAGATGTGGGAATGGATAGGAGTCCGGCTGCGGTGGATCTGAGGGACCGTGGGGGTTGATAAGGAGTGAGAAGGTTTGTGAGATAAGGGGGGGCCAGATGGTGGAGTGCTTTGTAGGTGAGGACCAGAATGTTGTAGTTGATGCGATGGGAGACAGGAAGCCAGTGGAGGTCTTTGAGGACTGGGGTGATGTGATGCCATGATTTGGTATGCGTGAGGAGACGTGCAGCTGCATTTTGAACCCGTTGGAGTCTGTTGAGGGATGTAGTGCTGATAGTCACCAGACAGCCGCCCTTGTGTTTTTGCCTGCCCCATGTGTGCCTTGTCAATGGGATTTGGGTCTGAGTTTATATATGCATGTCTTTCCCAGTGTTCTCTTTCAGCCTGTCGTCAATGTTTCCCATTGCTTGCAATGTTACCTGTGATTTTCACATGTGTTAACTGTGAATTTGCTTCCTGTGTTTCTCGTGCCATCCCAGTTTCTTTCTTCAAAGACTTTCTTGTTGTTTGTGCTTTTGTTTTATACCTTAGCCTGCTCCTCTTGTTTCGCAGTGTATTACATCAGCTTTATTTCAGCATTCTGCTCCATCCATACCCTGTGACAGGAGGCTTCTGTCACTTTTATGAGTGAGAACTAGAGAATTCAAAGAGTTCCGGGAAAAATGAATGTAAAAAAGCGACACAGGAACCATCGTACCCCAGCTCCAGCTGCCTGCAGGTCATGCCTGTCTTGCTAAATGACATTATGTCTGCTAATGAACAGCTCTCAGAGATGAGCTGTGATTGCAGTGAACACTTTTTCAATTTGAGACAGGAAGTAGGCTTCCCTCCTTCCGTTCTGAAAGAAAAGCTTGTATATTGAAGAAAAACATCAACGATAAGGCACATAACTTAGTTTTCGCCATCATCATGATGCTTTTTAACACAGGAGAAATGAGACATCTAAGTTGACCAATCACAACAGAGCCGGCCAGCTAACCAATCAGAGCAGACTGGACTCTGGTTTCAGACAGAGGGTGAAAAGAGGTGCTGCAGCACAGGAAGTATGAGAAAAATAAAGAGCTTTTTGAACATTAACGCATGCATACTGTACATGTCACAGAAGAGGCGCAAAATACTAATATGAACCAAAAACTGAGCATCATATGTCCTCTTTAAGAGTTTACAAACTCAAATAAACTTCAAATTCAAACATTTGTATTCAATAAGTTGCCCACAGCTCTATACTCTGACCTAGCTACTTGTATTAGCATGTTCATTGGCATACCAAGGAAGGGACACACACACACATTATCCCTCAGGTATAAAGAAGCCACACAGTCAGATCTCCATAAGCATAGCAGGGAGTTGTGTTCTCCGTCAGAAGGTTAATTGCTTTGTTTAACGGAACCTCACACAGAGGAAAATGTCCTCTCCACTCCACCTAAAGGCCAACACTAGAGATCAACAAAAACACCCTGGGATTCTGCGAACTGAATCAAATCGATGTGGAGTGCAAATTGGGCTACGAGAAAAGACAAACACCGAGGGGAAGAGGGTGAAATGCTCGTGTGAGAAATCTACAGCTGGGTCACCAGTTGAAATGAGCCCTTACACATCCCCTAGTCAGGGGTTTTCAAAGTGTGGGAAGGTGAGCCTCTCCTCAGAGAACATAAGAACAGCCCCCCCTCCCAATTATTATTATTATTATTATTATTATTATTATTGTTGTTGTTGTTGCTATAATGCAGGGGTATTCCATTGCATTTCAAAGAGGTCCAGTAAGAGAAAATGTCATTAAATGCTCTGTTTTCGCTGTACCTTTCTCTTTGTTGAGCACGCCATTTGAAATTACTCACTGCTGTTTCTCTCTTCTTGTCTCGTCTCTCTGTGTGTGTGTTAGAATCTACCGTGCTGACTCACTGACTGCACCGATTTGATCGGCTGAGTAGCGTCACCTCCTTAAAACATTAAACAATAACTTTTTAAAACCTTTTTATCTTTATGTTTTAAACATTTTTTTTTAACATTTTCAACATCCTGGATAAATCCTTATATGCTCCCGGCAACACGCTGAACGTCAACTTTGCCTCCTTTTTATACTCACCCCTACTTCAGTGGGAACGTTGAGTCGGATGATGCGGGGGATGCAATGTAGACAGGAATAAACGCAGATCATCCTCTGGCTGCAGTCTTGACCGGTACTTGCTTTTGATCAAAGTCAATGCGGAAAACCCGCACTCACACAGCTAGGTGGAGGTGAAGGGAATGAGCAATTTTACAGCCTTTTTGGCGAGGTGGGGGAACTCGGTCTCCACAGGGCGGACTGTCAACGGCCCTTGACGACCGGCCGTTCTGTGATTCTCCAGATTCTACAGAGGACCAGTCCGCCCCAAGTGACACACGTTTTCTGCCAGACGCTGTCTCCTCTCTCACTTTAGGTAACTTCACTAAAAATCGATCCATGTTGCCGCTCGCATAAAGTTAGCTGAAGTTAACTAGCTAGATTTAGCTGTTTCTCATAATTTTTTTCTCACACTGCACCTCCCCTGAAGCTCTCTGGCACCCCCCAGGGGAGGCGCGCCTCACACTTTGAAAACCGCTTCCCTAGTGAATATTAATGCCAGTTGAATTTCTGTCTGTATTGATGACCTGTGTTAACTGGACGTATCAGAGGAAGCATTTTACATTCCGAGGACATTGTTTCATAATAAAATGCTGATGGCTTTTGGAGCATTTTGGGGAAAAGGAGAAGATAAAATGGCATAATTGCTATGCACAAATGCCCTGTGTGTAATATCAGCTACGCAAGTCGGGTATTATATTATGCTTATGTAGATATGCTATAATGAATCTCATATGGTTTCCCCGAACAAATGATTTCTTCATATTTCCAATTGCTAAGGATCACTGGCTTTCAATTAAGGAGTGAAAACAAACAAAGAATGGGGTATCTGTCTCTGTCAGCATGCATGGCTGCTTCTCTCACACACACACACACACACACACACACACACACACACACAGCCACACACACACACACACACACACACACACACACACACACACACACACACACACACACACACACACACACACACACACACACACACACACACACACACACACACACACACACACACACACACACACACACACACACAGTACTTACGGAGCTGGTGCATGTCTCTCCAGCTCCGGCTGGCAGGACAGGCAGTGATGGTCACCACTGGGCACGAGTTTCCAGCCAGAGTGCTGCAAAGAACCTGCTGCTGAAAAAACACCTTGGTAGGATCCACTGACCTCTGCAGCAGCTTCAGGTTAGCCTGAGAGACACAGAGCAGACCCTGAGTGATGGTTCTGTATCTTATTGTCTTTTATACAAATGTGTATTTATTAGGGCTGTCAACTTTGATCCGTTTACGCACCCAATTAATCTGAAAACCTCAAACCAAATTAATCAAATCATTAAGTTTGATTACAACTCCCTTCTGGAATACCAACGCAGAACTGAATTGCATGGCAGTGAAAAGACAAAGACAGCATGGAAATTGTTACACGCTACATGTATTTCACTGACGAGAGACCACTGTAAATCAGTAAGAATCATAACAGGGTTTTTTACTTTGTTTTAACATCTCAGCTTAGTTTTGAAGATGGCTGAATTATTGGCATGACAATTTCCGACATTAAGCTAAAGCATCGACAAAGCTGCTGTCACAGAGAGCTGCTGTGATCACCCTCTGTATAATGTGTGCTACACAGGGTGTATTATCTCTGCTGCTATCATAACTGGTGCATGCTTCAGCAAAATGCCTTTCCTCAGTTTTCACCACACCTAAAGCTAACAGTAAAGTTGCCACGAGGTAGATTTCTCTTATCAGTCTGTCATGCATTTCTGTATTACAACATCACAGTCACCCCCCAAAATACAAATAAATAATACTGAGATGAATCATTATTAATCACAAGATTTATTGGTGATTAACGCGATAACATTATTTTCATACATACATACTAATATCTATGTAATATCAAACTAATTGGTTTACCATACATATTCTGATGGAAGCTTAATGGTGTTTATGGTCATCATAAGGAAGCATTTGTACATATCTGAAAAAAATACATATTTGTTACAACCAAATGATTAACGCTTTCATGGTTCTTCATAGACACAAACTATTTGGTTTTGTTTTTTAAAGTATTTTTTGGGCATTTCAGGCAGACAGTGGAGAGACAAAAATAAATTGGAGACATGGGGACGAATGTCCCGTGGCTGGATTTAAACTGGCAAATTGATGTGGTGGTTTTATTTTAATATTAAAAGTCATCAGATGATGAATTTATGGATGGATGGGCAGATTTATGGGTTGGTGGATGGATGAAAGATGGTCAAATGGATGGATGGATTAGTGGAAGGATGGATTGAAGGATGGTGATGAGTACCTTGAGAGCAGAGTACGTGTAGGGATAATGGTAGGCCAGGTAGCAGACGTCTTCACTGTGTTTGAAGGTGATGGTAAAGGTCAGAGTATAAAAGGTGGTTCTCCTTCTGCCCCGAGCTGGACAATAGTGGTTTCTGGAGGAGAATAACAATGAGTAACTTATATGTGTAGCTAAAAGGTCCTTCTCTAGTAGTGTATGAAGGTCTCTATCTTAAGCACTGGGCTGAGTAAATGGTGCGCGGCAATTTATTTAAATGGCACGACTAACCAAGATGTTGTTGATGAGTCCTATATAGTTTCTAAACATTTTTTATGGTCGTATTTTTCTGTTTATAAGATCAATTAGATGTAAGAATAGTTCCATTCTTGACATATGTGAGTTTATTAATATATTTATTACACTGTATTCATTACATTACAAGTAAACTCACAGCATATGGATAAAAATAGCGCATTTTCAGCTCAAACAGCTTATCTCCCAGGAGACTAAACAGAAATGGGGGCTGTTACATAAACTATTTACCACACATTAAGTTATTAGAGATTAAGTTGCATCCCTTATCTGTACTGAACCCACTCCTGGCAGTCTGATTTAGTCACACCACAAAATTGGATGACCAGCATTGTGTTAAAAGTAATGACATTTGGACTGCAGCTAGAGAGGAAACACATTAAATGTGTGTATTTCATTCATACCTGTAGTAACAAATCTCAGTCCCAGACCTGACCCAGTGTGGTCTTCCTTCCAGAGCTTCCCTTACAGAGTACAGCACCGGCTGCATTCCTGCAGAACACACACACAATTGATGGAGGTGTACTGTATATGAACTTGCTGAAAGACATTTGAGGTGTCACGGCCGGGTCAGGAGGAAAAGCTGTTGTATAGTAATGAGAAGGTTAAGGGTCATATGCCTGGCAACCTGCCACAGGTTATTAATGTGTGTGTGAATTTGTGAACATTGACTTGGCATTTGTTGAGGTCAGTAGACTTAAAAATTGACATATAAACACAGTCCTAACCCTATGAATAATGGACTACCACCTTTATTTTTTCGACCTTCCCTATCTTCTACACTGTTATTTTGATAGCAATATTAGAATAATTTTACACAGGGTTTGAAATAAAAAATTCCGCAAACCTGCAGATCTTTCAGTCAGTTCTTACCAAAAGGCAGCTTCACTCAAAAATAACTCTGAAACTCATCTTGCAAATGTACATCTTAACACATCAAATAAGGGATATTAAAGTGTTGGTACTGGGTAATTGGATTACCTATAAAAACATATCCGCCGGTTTACATAAGTCTCTTTCCCAATGTGAGTCAATAGGAACAATTATTTTTGGGTCCCAATGACGTCACGTGATATAGTAGTTGTAGTACCACTGTTTGGCAACATTTGCTTCGACGCCTGGCGGTCTTCCTTGGGGCTTGGTTAAAGAACTCTTCATGTTTTTTCAAAATACTATGAAGCATGGTGACCTCGTAGCCACGAGCCAAACTCCCCTCAGTATCTCTGTGTTTTTCTCTGCTGGCTTTTAACCCTGGGCTAGAAAATATCCACTGTTCATGATTTAAAAACCATCAAATCCCCGAGGGTTAAAACTTGGTAGTTAGATTACGTTCTTTCCTGTCAGCACATTACACTCTTTCTGGGCAAAGAGGAATTTTTTGTTCAATGGCATATAGACTATTTTGTAAGAAATATCCTTTCTTCTATTCATTCACCTCTTCCTAAGAAGAAACCGATTTCCCAAGGGACGTTAAAAAGAGCAATTTTCCGGTACAAAGGGCATTGTATGAATCAGTGTGTTGTATGAAGAAGTGAGATTGCTACTGGAGATACAGAGTGTGTTTTTCAATCCCTTTGTCTGTTTGTGTGTGTGTTGTAATGGATGGTCTATTATGGTAGGAACCACTGCTGAGCCTGTAGAGGTGTGTGTGTGTGTGTGTGTGTGTGTGTGTGTGTGTTTGATGAAGGGTTTTATTGTTGAAGACACTATGAGAGATATAGAGAGTTGAGCAGGGCAACAATGCTCATACAGCCTTGTGTTTTTAGTGTCCCAGTGAATGATGTCTCCTCATGTCAGCTCTATACATGTCAAATATGTAGGCGCATCACCAATGAAATAAATACAGGACAAATTGAACATGGAGAAAAAAATGATTCACATATAACACCGCTTTGTCAAACAAACATCAAATAGAACAATATTACATTTACTCTTGCCTTTACTCTGATGTATCAGTAGGTAAGTGTTTGTCTGACTTCACATCACCACTAAAGGCAGCTAATGTTCAGCGTGATGACATTTATTTGTCTCTTTTAGTCCCTTGTAACCAACCGCTGTCTTTAAGACATATAGAGAAGTGGCATGCAGTTTTTGCCAAGAGTACTAGTAGTAGCTGACAACTACTAGTAGCTGAGAACTAGTAGCTGATTAAAACTAGTAGTAGATGACAACTAAAGAGTGTCCAGTTTTGCAACCAACCTTGATATAGTTTGAAATTTGAGCACAGCGGGGCGTAAGAGGGTCTGAGGTAATTTTGGACCAATGACAATAAACCTTCCATAAAACTCTGGCACTGCATTATTGCCAGTTAGAAAACTTGTGTTCACCACAAACACAATATTTGGGAATACCAAATTACATACTTTTCAAGTTTGGCATTAACATTTATTTAACAAATTAACAAGTGTCACTTATTATTACTTTTCAATTAAATTGACACACACACACACACACACACACACACACACACACACACACACACACACACACACACACACACACACACACACACACAACACACACACACACACACACACACACACACACACACAACACACACACACACACACACACACACACACACACACACACACCTTCTCACCATAGTTGAACTGGCTGTTGCTCTTCTCACAGTTGATGACATTGAAACGGTAGGGGGTGCTTGGGACCATGTTACTGACTTCAAAGTAAAACCACTGCGTGTGCTGGTTACAGTTAGCATCCGCGTTCAGTATGAGGTCATATTCATATCTGAAGAAGAGAGGAAAAGCGACGATAATGAGTGGAAAACACTAAGCCAGGACTGTGTAGAAGTGAAGAAGATATGTATTTACCTTCGGACCTGAACAGCCTTCCTTAGGTTCCCACATTCAAACTTAGAGTAAAACCTCAAGGAATCAGATGGACACTGAAGACTGAAGGAAAAAGAGACAAAGAGGACCAAAATTATTATTTCGCCTCCCATTTGGGCAAAGAATAAAGACAAATGTGAAAGTGAAGGCTTGATGAATGTTGTTTCTCCGATCTTGTTTGTGTTGTTGCCCACCTGCTGTCTTCCAGGTCAAACACTACCTGGTCGATGATGTCGTCAGGATTCAGGAAACGTTGGACATCTTCAAACACTTTCTGTCTGACAAAGACAAGCACATGCAGAAACAAACGTTAACATTGAGAAGGTTCGGTAAAAAGTTCTCCAGCAGGGGTGGGGGGGTCCTACTGGGTTATCAAGGGAGTTTCAGATGTTAATAGAAGAAGACATCCCATAGTTCTCTATGCTCTCTGAAAAAGTGTTGTTTCAACTGGAATTGAGGAGAGCGTAGTGCCCGGAAATTACATTAATTGCTTTCTAAAATAAATTTCAAATAACTCTACGGAGGGATTTTTCTGTGTTTATTAAACACATGTTGTCTCCATTAATCCCACACAAAATTATTTGAAGGTAAATGCGTTTGGCTATCCAAAGGTGCCAGTTTACATCAAGGGCACTGGCAATGTGCTAACCCTAACCCTAACCCTTGACCAAGGCACTGTACCCCCACACTGCTACCCTGGCGTATTTGTTTTGAGATATGAGTATAGATACTACATATTGTTTTGTTTTTTAATCACAATTTTTTCTATTACAATCCTAAGGTAATTATCCTTGAGAATGTTTATTTCATGTGTCTTATCCTCCACTACATTTCAGAATAAGATATTGTGTTCTTCTGCATTTAATTGACAACTTTAGCTACTTGTGTAACGCATATAAGAAGGTACAGTGATTATGATGACGTTACCCAACTTCCAGCCTCACACACTCCTAATTTACCAGTCGATTTTGGGTTAGTGTTTCGGTAGGAAATCCAACCTTCACCTACGGTCATGAGCTTTTGGAAGTGACCAAAAGGTAGAGATTTGGCATACTGGACTGTAAAAAGTTGTTGGGGAGAGGGAATTCTGCTAGGCCTTCTGTTAACATGACCTGCCAATGGGATGGACACTAGAGTTATTGATAAGGAGTTTAATGTCCTTGTTACGAAAACCTCCAAATAGGTCATTTTAGGCATTTCTTCTTGTGGGGTCTGTGTTGATTTTCCCTTTTAACTTTAACTTGTGCTGCCGCTTTCTGCTCGGCAGAGTTTTGCACTGTGTGAGAGGGTTATGTGTGAGAACTTTAAAACAATGCGCAATGCTAATCCCATTAGCATGTGTATGGGAAACTCAGGGTGTTTCTCAATGTCGAGGAAGGCGTCCTTCGTTGCGGGACATTTCGAGACTGCACATGTGCATCCTCCGCGGTCTTAAAATCCCCACAATGCTTTGCGCACGGACCAATTTCCCAAATCTTTGGCGGAAATTGCGCTGCATTTAAGGCGAGGCCTTGCATATGACGCACACCTGCACACCTGTTAGTCTGTTCCACCATTCTTCATTTGCCGAGGCTAGGAAGGATTCTTGCCTCGCTTCTGAAGGACCTGACTCGGAAGACATGTCCTACCAAGGAAGCGTCCTCGACATTGAGAAACACCCTCAATGTTTAGTTAGCATCAATGCTAACCAGTATTCAACTGTAAAACTGTATACAATGCTTGGAAAACTTGATGATGATTAATGATTGAGTCTTTGTTAATGTGTCAACATTATACGCGAATATAGAAAATTAGCCCCAATATCAGCAGTTTTACTATAATATTCAGTGTCAACTCAGAGTCCATTCAAAAAAAATTAGCAGCTTAGCTCCATGATATACAGTTCTATAAATAATTTGAAAAATGTTTGATATCAAAATAGTCTCAATGAAGACAGAGAAGGGGTACACTGGAGGACAATATTTGGGTTTGAAATGAGACAGAGATTGAAGGTCCTTCACATTAGAATAATTATATTCTGTACCCGAGACAGTTTACTCATAAAGCAGCCCTGACAAAAATGGCATCAACATTAGTTCTATTAGGGACTGCCAACTAAAAACATTTTTATGTAAGTGCCAACAGACTGGCAATTTAATCAGAATGAAATTGCATCCTTAACATTTTCTAAATGTCAGCGTCTGTTGGTCTCTTGAAAGTGCTGAGGAAGTGTCTATGAGGAGAGTTATCTCTCTCTTGTACATACATAGATATAACCAGCACATTCTAAAACAAGACAAAAGGTTTGAGTGACTGAGGTTAGCCCACATTAACATCAGGGCAGAACACATTTGCATTAGGAAGTGGGCTTTTTACACTGAAGGTTGGAGCAAATGCATTTCAGTTAAAGAACAAGTCTGGTGATTTTTCTTTTTCTATGCATATGTCAACACATTTGACATTGTTAGAAACTCATCAATAAGCACACAGTTGCACTGGCTCACATGTTCCTTCATTACACCAACACACACACTTTACTTTATTTTCACTCAATCCCACACACATCCTGCTGCCACAAGTTATCACTACCAAATGTAAAATCCTCCGCTTTAAATAGTCCCCAACAATAGCCCTATTTCATGCTGTTTGAGTTACATTTAATAAACAAAGTAATTAGTAGGTGTTTTAGGGAACTACTGAGTGCTTTTTTTTTTTTAAATAAAACTATGTATGTGTGAGGGAATTCTAAATACAGTTGCAAGAAAAAGTATGTGAACCCTTTGGGTTATCTTTCTTTCTTACAGTGCAGACGCTTTTCTGCTTGCTCCTGCCTCTGCTTACTTTTTATGCTGATTTTCCTATTCTTATTCTCTGAAAACTTCGAGCAGCGGCTCCTGGATATTAACTTATCACTGGGACAGTTCATCTTCGTAAATAGACGGAGGGTTTCAGCCATATGTCAACATTTTTACGACGACCTCAGTCTTACAGTAGCGTGGCCTAGCAACAGCTAAAGCCTGGTAGGCTACTGCATGCTATTTAGCTTAAGCTAGTTGGTAGCAAAATGCCTCCGTTCTCTACAGATGACTTCCACAAACTTATACAGAAGATAGCTGTGTTGGAAATGAAAATGCAAAGGTTGGAAGTTAACGTGGAAGTGAATGGACTATGTCATGGGAATGACACCACTTTACCAGTGTTGCAAAATAATGGAGAAGGGTATGCTAACTCACAGCTAGTTAGCAGCTACAAGGATTCCAAGGAACAGGAGGGCTGTGTACCGGGTAATACATCTACAAGTGATAGTCCTCCCTGGAACTCTCTGGGTGCAAAGCCTAAGAGTAAATCATTTTCATGGGATTTGGGAGGACGGATAACATGCAGAGCCCAGCGCTCTGAAATATGTGATGCGACCGGCTGGCCTGCATTTTTATCACCCAGGAAGAGCGCCTCTTCAACCCCTATTCATACTAGGAAACAGCAGTGGACAGCTGCTAAAGGGAGAATTACAAACAATCCTCCTAAACCACCAAGTGTGCCAATCCAGAACGGATACGCTCCGCTGACCGAGAACCGGAGATCTGATGACCTGGATAATCTGTCCTCTTCACACAGCAGGGTAAGGACCAATAGCTACTCCAAAAGTAAAAGGCTAGAGGGAAAGCTAACGACTGGGCCTGAAACTCTGATTGTGGGTGACTCTGCTGTAAGAGATGTAAAATGTCTGTGTAATAAGAACAACACCAAAGTACTCTGTTTTCCCAAGGATGTGGTCTCTGACTTGGCTGAGAAGATCCTGCATATTGGGGCTGAACATCCGACTGTGAAGAATGTGGTACTGCACATTGGAACAAATGATGTTGTGAAACAACAGTCAGAAGTGCTGAAAGAAGACTTTAAATGTTTGTTGGAAATTGCCAGCTCTCTAAATGCAGAGGTGTTCATCAGTGGCCCTCTACCGCCAGTCAGAAGAGGAGTGGAGAGATTCAGCAGATTGTTTGCACTGAATACCTGGCTTTCAACTGTCTGTACTGACCATTCTGTTCATTTTATTGACCATTTTAACTTTTTCTGGGATCGCAGACATCTTTTCAAGGCACATGGAGTTTGCCTGAACAAGTCAGGAGTGAAATTGTTTATCTCCAACATATTCAACTGCCTGTGTTATCAATCTGTTCCCTCTGCCAAGGACAAGCGGCAAGAGGAATCAAAACAGGAGAAAGACACAACACATCGCGCAGAAAACCCTGAAGAATTATCACTGCACCCGCCTGAGGAATGTTCTGATTATGGGAGACACATGGAGGAGTCTCCACTGCCCGTCACCCCCCCCCCCTGTCAACGCCTTTGAGGATACTCCGTTCACCCTTTCACCCTCGCCCACCCTCCTGGGGATCGTTGAACACATGAAGGAGATACAGAGGGTTGGCACCGATTCCTTCCTGGAGTTCAACGACCAAACTAAGGCGATACGCAGGGCTGGCACCACGTCCTTTACCCCCGCTCCTCAACGACGCCCACCAAAATCACCGCAGAGACGCGCACCATCTCCCCCGTCTTCATCACCGTGCCTACGTCAACCACCTCCCCCCCCTGGCAGCATGTCCTCTACCCCCGCACCATCTCCCACGTCTCCATCACCGTGCCTGCGTCGGCCGCCTCCCCTCCCTTCGAGAGGGCATCTGCAGTCTCCGAAGCCTGATAAGGATGTGTGTGTACTAAACGCTGCAAACTGATATTTGCTGGGTCCAGGCTCAAGGGCGTATGGCACTCTGAACTCTTTCCAGGACATGCCGGGGCCCTGCCTGCCTATAGCTTTGCCGATATCTGTGTTGATAGGTAATAGATTAAGAGCGGTGAATCATCTTAGAAACAGGAAGCGCTCAAACGTTTGTGTGAGTTTATCTAATTTAGCAGTGATTCCATGTCAGCCACAGCTTGTTACAAAAACATGACTGATAGTGTGTTTAACAAACTTAAACTAGCTTTATTAAATGTCAGGTCTTTGGCAGGAAAAACATTTTTAATCAATGATTTTATCACTGAGCACAATCTCGATTTTATGTTTTTAACAGAAACTTGGATTGAACAAAATAACAGTGCAGCTGTTCTTATCGAATCAACCCCTCCCAACTTTAGTTTTATGAGTCAGGAAAGAATGCATAAGAAAGGGGGTGGAGTTGCTATTCTGTTCAATGATTCCCTTCAATGCAGGAAGACATTGTATGGAAACTTTGATTCTTTTGAATATGTGGCCCTTCAGCTGAAATGCTCCTCTCGAGCTCTGTTCCTAAATATC